GGGAGAGGAACTATTTAAGCTCAGTACCAATGTAAACACAAGAACAAATGGATATAAACTGGCCATCAGGAAGTTTAGACTTGAAATTAGACGAAGGTTTCTAACCATCAGAGGAGTGAAGTTCTGGAACAGCCTTCCAAGGGGAGCAGTGGGGGAAAAAGACACATCTGGCTTCAAGACTAAGCTTGATAAGTTTATGGAGGGGATGGTATGATGGGATAGCCTCATTTTGGCAATTAATTGATCTTTGACTATTAGCGGTAAATATGCCCAATGGCTTGTGAAGGGATGTTAGATGGGTGGGATCTGATTTACTACAGAGAATTCTTTCCTGGGTGTTTGGCTGGTGAGTCTTGCCCACATGCTCAGGGTTGGGCTGTTTAGCATATCTGGGGTCGGGAAGGAATTTTCCTCCGGGGCAGATTGGCAGAGGCCCTGGTGGTTTTTCGCCTTCCTCTGCAGCATGGGGCATGGGTCACCTACTTGAGGATTCTCTGCACCTTGAAGTCTTCAAACCATGATTTGAAGAATTCAGTAGCTCAGACATAGGTCAGGGGGTTGTTACAGGAGTGGGTGGGTGAGATTCTGTGGCCTGCGTTGTGCAGGAAGTCAGACTAGATGATCATAATGTTCCCTTCTGACCTTAAAGTCTATGATTCTATTAAAATTCCAAAACCAGTAGAACACTTCAATCTCCCTGGTCACTCAATTACAGACTTAAAAGTAGCAATTCTTCAACAAAAAAACTTCAAAAACAGACTCCAATGAGAAGCTGCAGAACTGGAATTAATTTGCAAACTGGACACCATCAAATTAGGCCTGAATAAAGACTGGGAGTGGATGGGTCATTACAAAAACTAATTTCCCCACACTAATGCCCCCTGTACTGTTACACACACCTTCATGTCAACTGTTTGAAATGAGCCATCCTCATTACCACTACAAAAGTGATTTTTCCTCCCTTGGTAGTCTACTCTTGAGAATAGCCTACTTCCACTGTAATTGAATTGTCTCATTAGCACTGACACCTCCACATACACACCTCATAATGAAATTCCCATCTTTCATCTATATATATATACATACCTGCTTCTGTATTTTTCACTCTATGCATCTGATGAAGTGGGCTGTAGCCCACGAAAGCTTATGCTCCAATAAATTTGTTAGTCTCTAAGGTGCCACAAGGATTCCTCGTTGTTGTTGCTGATACTGACTAGCATGGCTACCCTTGTGAAACCTGTCTTTACATGTTTCAATGCCTCACAAGGGCAGCCATTGCCCATATTTTTGCTGAGTGTGTTTCTTCTATGGCCCATTGTGAGAGCTAAGTGTCCTTGAAGGGCCATCAACACATAGCTGTCTGTCCTTAATGTAAATGCTACCTGAGGGGTGTTACCCAAAAATACAACACA